GATGGTGGTGTGCACACATTCTCCATGTTGGGATGGTGGTGTGCTCCCTCATCTTTGAACTCAGAAGGCCCAGGCATGTGGACTGAGTTTGAGGCCAGTCTGGGCTACATGGCAAGATCCTGTCACAAAACAAAAAAAAGACAAGGCAAAGCATGTCATCGGCCCCTGTGAAACTGCCAGAGGTAGGTTAAAAGGTTAGGTCTGAGCTGCCTCATAGCCGAAGCCAAGAGAGAGACAGGCAGGCGTGGGCTTCAGGAGGTTTAGAAGATAAATTACCAGGAGTTCAGAGAGGTACCTGTTCAGGCTGTTGGAAGTTGGGGAGACACTTCCTTAGGGGCCTTGGCATGCATGTACAGGGCTTCTGACACACACACACACACACACACACACACGTGTGTGTGTGTGTGTGTCTATGTGTCTGTGTATCCTGCCCTTCAGGCCCAGCCCAGAAGTTAAGATGAACCTGAGAGGGTTTGGACATGTAGTTCAGAAATCGCCATGCTATTCTCTCAGACTCAGATGCAGCTTCACATCAGACAATGCTGGAGACCAACCCTGGAGAATTTTAACTGACAGCAACACTAGCTTGAATTCTCACACCAGTGTGAAGTTGATCCTAGCAGAAATGAAGGTGTGATTGACAGAGAGACTAGCAAATGGAGTGAAGAGTCCCAGAGCTATCCCCAGCTGTGGGGCTTCACTCGTTCTGCCTCACTCTGTCCCACTGTGACTCACAGGGCTCATGCGCAATCCTCACATGCCTGATTTAGAGGACTTACTCACCCTTCAGAGCCGGACTTTAATGCAATAAAGCAAATGATGGCGAGGTGGTTGCAGCTTAGCACACCAGTCCATCCTGCAGCTGCCTTCCTATTCTCCAGCTCCCCTACACTGTCTTCTAGACCAATCTGTCAGTGAGTCTCCAGGTGCCTTTCCAGAGCTGGGAAGAGACTTAAGGGATGTGGAACTTGGAGGAGTCATGATCAGGTAAGACGTGTCCTGAAGTCTAAAGCACAGAAGTTAGGAGTTGGTGAGGCCTCGTCCTCCCTGGCCATTGCTCTACACAGAGGAAGACTTGGACGAAGTAAGGGAGAATGAGTGACTGAATGTGATTAGGTCTTCTTGACCTGGGTAGCTTCTCATCTGTAGGCTTTCTCAGGAGCCTGTGGAGCTCACTTTTCAGAAAGGAAAGGAAGGTAACAACGAAGATAACTCAGGCAGGCAGTCTCAGGGTGATGTTCGGAGAAAACTGGGCTACTCTGCTGTTATCTTGCAAAGCACACAGCAGGGTAGCTGGAGACCCCTGGGTCCTCCTGAAGTGACAAGTTAGTTAGGTTGGGAGCATCACTGAGTGGGATGCTGTAAGACCCAATCATTTTCCTGTTGGATCGGGGTTAGAGACCATGCCTAGTCTGTATCAGGCAAGCGGTTAATTCTGCTTCTTCCTTCCTCAACCAAAGTACTCAGAGGGCAAGCTGGGCTTCGCTTGGTCTGAAACGCACTCACTGAGGGATGTGGATAGGAACTCTGGAGGGAGTTATCCGAAAGAATTAGATACAAGGATAAAAAGAGTTGGCTAGGTCATTAAGAGGAACCTTTTCCTCTCAACTATCTCTAGCCAGCCTTTCCTTGGTCTACCATATGCCAGGCAGGGGCAGAAAGAGGCTGGCTACAAGCCTGGCATCTGGGCTTTTGGGAAAGAAGGATTTCCAGGAACTCTGCAGAACACCTAGCTCCTTTCAGTCTGCTTCAGGAATGATGAACTGAAAGTCAAGCCAGGCTGTTAACGGGAGAGCCGAGGTAGGAGGTCTGTCTGGCTCCCACAGGAAAGTTCTAGCAGCGTTTCCATGTCCTGGCTAAAGTCAGACTCAAAATCAGCAAGCATGTGGAATTTCATATCCTGCACCCTCACTCCACCGTTAATTTGGAAATAAAACAGAACTGGAGAGATGGCTCAGCAGCTAAGAGCACACTGAGCTCTCTTCCAGAGGACCTGTTTGGTTCCTAGCATCCACATAGCAGCTGACAGTTATCCGTAACGCTAGTTCAGGGGGTGTGACGCCCTCTGACCTCTGCAGGTACTTACTGGGCATGCCTGGGGCACACAGGCATACTTAAAGGCAACACACAAAAACATTAAGGCAGGCTTCAGTCCCTGCCCAAAGGTATACCTGCCTATCTCAAACCACCACTAACAGGAACAAACAGTTTGATTTTTTTGTTATTTTTATTTTGTACTAAGTAAAAAAAAACAAAAACAAAAACCAACCAGCAACACTGCTTTTTTTTTCACATTCACATGGGTTTGGGGGTACTTATTACCTTTCCCCCCTGGAAAAACAATCTATCAAGGAACATAAGTAGTACCACATGGCAAAAGATGCAGATCCCAGAATCAGTAGTTTGAAAACAACTCCCCGGGGGTAGGGAGGGAAACACTGTCACAAAGGATGACAAAAAGCACACAGGACACTAAACTGAGAAGTATGTCACCACCACTGACCCAGGACACAGGCAGCTACTGCCGCCTCCTCAGAGGGGTGATTTTTTGGTCTAGGGTCTGACAACTTTCTGAATGACACCAGAGTTGCTTTAGAGAGAGATACCGTGGGACAGGTTCAAGTATTTGTAAAAACCATGCCAAAGTCCAAGGTCACCGAGGAACCCCTATGAGTCATGAGCTTCTCCTTCTACCAACAGCTTTCATGGGGCCCCAGACAGACAGAATCTCAGAAACACTTCTGGGTTCAGATGGGCAGGTACTTTTGTCTTGACAGATCTAACAGGGTTAACTTTTCTGACTGGGCGGTGACCAGTTCTCTTCCCTGAAGCGACAGAGACAAAGTTTGCCGAAGTTCAAACAACAGTGAAAATTGTGCTTCCTTCTAGATGAATTGGCTTCTTTCCTGGTCCGGCGCAGCTCACTCCCACTTTGCTGCGAGTATTTATTGCCTTACGCTTGAAATGAAAAGGCGAACTTTTGAGGTGCAAGGAAAGTCCTGAGTGGGGAGGGGTTCTGGAAGTACAGTAGTCAGCACGTGCTGTGCTAGGGGCATGGCTTGGCCTTCCTACAATCCCGAGGGAGAACCCATCCTCGGGGTTAGTCTGAAGTGCATTTGCAAGCCTGCTGACCACTCAGCATCTCACTGGGGCAGCGGGACAGAGAGAGGTCTTCAGTATTGCAAGGGTATGAAATGTCCACAAGTTTTTTAAAAAAAAAAAATCACAGTTGCTCTTGGGGATCCGCTGGTAGCCAACCACAGTCTCAGCAGGATGTGGCTGTGGCCACAGGGCTCCTGTGGAGCTCTGTGACTGTGGAGTGGGTGGGCACCGGGGCCAGCACTGAGGTAGGGAATGTGCAGTAGGCACCCTGCATATCAGGGCTCAGTGTCTGTAAATGGCCTATAAACGTGGTACTGGCTGCCTCCCCTTGGCAGGAGGGCGGTTGGGGGGTGGGTGTGGAGGGCAGGATCTCAGATTCATACTGAAGGAGCTGTCCCATGAAGCCAAAGTTGGGGGAGACCACGCTCCTCCTCTGCTTGATGTAATCAAAGGCCTCCTTCAGGCGGAACTGCTTGGTCTTCATGAGGTACGCCATGCAGATGGTGGGCGACCGGGAGACACCAGCTTCACAGTGGACTAGGACCTTGCCTCCTTCTTCCCTGACACAGTCTGGAACAAAGCAAAGAGAGTGAGTCAGAACTAGAGTCTAGAGGCAAAAGCAAATGCGGGGCACACAGAGCACTGTGCAAGGGCCCTGGTCCTTACGCTGGGCGTGGGGGTTCTGTACTATAGTCTACAAACCCAGTATCTGCAACAGAGTTGGAAGGCCATAGGCTCAGGGCAAGCCTAGGCTCGTACTTAAACTCTGCAGCAGCGCTTCTGAATCCCAATGTCCCATGTCCCAGCAGAGGATATTTATAACCCATGAAGCTGTTTCCGAAGACAGCTGCACAGATCTTTTCTCTGCACGTGCCAGACCCGGAAACATCCTCTCTGGGGATAGCCACCTTAACCTTTTTTCCAGGATCAAGTTCAAACGGCATTGGAAAATCCTCGAAACCATATGTAGGTTTTATTATTTGGGTGTGTGTAATTTTCTGAGAATGTCCTAGGCTCAAAGACCAACTTGGAAAAACAACATAGTCTTTCCAGTTCTGATCTAATGGTGATGATATAGGCCCCCTCCTGGAAGAGGCCTTTTGCATCCCCTGGGCTACCTGTCTTGCTGTTGCCAGGGCAGGATGCTTGGTGAGGTTTCAGGTTTCTCACCACCAAACATATAACAAACAGTGCCCAGCCACTAATTATAGTCCTGCTTAAGTGACGCTTACGACGGAGAATATTAATGGCTTTTGCCAACTCCATCTTGCTCAACAATGGGAGTCACTGCTCAAGTCACCACCATCAGTTAGCATTCTTTCAATGACTATGACAAAGTGTGTGTGTGTGTGTGTGTGTGTGTGTGTGTGTGTGTGTGTGTGTGAAGGGTCCCTCTGCTCCTGTTCTAACCTTCCAAGTAAAACTGCTAAAAATAGGAAAGGTTAAAGGTGAGTACATATCCAGTCAAACACCATACAGAAGGTCTCCCCGATTCCCTCTTTTGAGACTGAGGAAATATTACTCACAGGAAGTTAGATGTAGCTGTAAATGCTACTGTCATAAGACCGAAGTATTAAAAACAGACAGAAAGATGAAGAGGGAAATGCCCTCTTACCACATGGGTGGAGACCCATGTGCTTAAAAACATTCAAGAAGTTTGAAAATGGATCTATACCTAAAAGACCAAATATCTAAGAGGTCAGAGAGGAACCTTTGAAATTTCCAAAGTGAACAGCAAAACTCCAGAGCATGACCATGGTAGCTCACAGGAGACAACTTAGCAATCTAGAAGGGATAGTAAGGAACCTGTGTCCCAACAGGAACTGTAAGCCAGCTCAGAGGAGGGACCCCAAGGCATTGGTATTATGGGGTCTCCTCTCCCCTCCCCCTCCACTGGCTTCTAGGACGTAGTGGGTCACTGTCTCGTTCAAGAACAGAAAGGATTCGAAAGGCATCACTTCTGAACCTTTCTAAACCTTAGGCTGTCGCCACCCTCAGTCTCCAGCTTCCTTAGAAGGGACCAGTGCTAATCTGAGTACAAGGCCACTGGGGAGGCTGCTCCTGCCATTATCAGGGCATGTGTCTGGGTTTAAAAAACATACCAGGTGCTTTTGAAACACTGTGTGGGTCTGTGTGACTGTGTCCACAAACACAGACGCAACACACAGGATGCAGAGGGAGGTTTCTCAGAACTGGATGGGGGCAGGTTGCATGACTTCATTCAGTAGCCATCCAGGTAATTAAATAACAGACTGAGAAGGGCAGAGCCCTCCCCAGGGCATGAAGGAAAGTCAAGAGTTCCCACCTATAACCCAGTATCTCGGCTGCTTCTGAGCCTAGAGACTCAGCTGACAGGGATAGCCCTCAGTCTGTGCCTCTGTTGAGTTTGTCAAGACTTCTTAGGCCACATCATGTGTGGGGAGAAGAGGCCCTTCCTTCCACGTGGCTGAAGGGGGCCCTTTAATTGCTACCTGTGCTAAGTAATTACCCTTGTGCCTAACACCTGCCTTTAACCAGATCTAGGAAAATGATGTCTCAATCTCAACAAACATGCATGCTGAAGAGAAAGAAGGACGGGAAGAGTGGAGACAGGGTCGTAAGGCTGAGGAATGGATCTCCACACCAGAAGCAGACAGATCAGGCTAAACACAACGTGGGAAAGAGATCCGGACTGTGAGGGCAAACAGGGCAACACTGAGTAGCAGGACACCTAAGAGCCCATGCTCTGTCCAACTAGAGGCCAAGGCCACAGGCTTGTACAATGGAACAGATGACAACTGCCTCATAGGAACACAGGAACGATGCACAAGATGCTGGATATTATGTGTACCAGGCACGGGGCTTGACTCAGTGCTATCTTTCATCCAGAGTTAGCTGAAAATACAAAGCCGACTGCCTCCAAAGCTGTTTTCCAGAACTGTGCAAAGCTGCCGGGCCTCGAGGGTTGGTGCATAAGGAGTGCTCCCTCCATCCTGTCTGCTTTAAAAACAGCTGAACCTACGTAGATGGAGGCGCTCCCCCTGCCTTCCTCCTGAACATCACACAGACACGCACCCAGCTCCTGCCCAGTAACAAGAGCGGCAAAGTACTGACAGAAAGCGAAATGAACTCATTTATCGTGTGCACCAGAACTCCTAATAACAGTAACTCAGACTTCCCCTAGCCTCTCTGATGACCACTCGTGCTCTACCAGATGCACACACAAGACACTGTCCTTAAGCCGGGTGATCGATTGATTCCTGGTCCCGCCACTTGGGAGGTAGAAGATGATCAGGGGCTCAAAGTCATTCTTGACTTCATAGCAAATCTGAGGCTACCCAGGGCTACAGAAGTCGCTGTCCACCAAAACAACAGACTCCTTCCTTTCCAAGAAGGTAACCAAACCAAGATACCGAAAGGTAAAAATACATATTCCACTCCAAGGTCAACGGAGGACGGGAGTGGCTAAACCTACCAATAAAGTCTATTGCTTCTTGGAAGTGGGAGCTGATGTCGGCGGTGTGGCTGTCCTCCACAGGGATCCACTTGTAGTGCAGGTGGGTGGTGCAGGCCTCGGAGGTCCGGCGGGAAACGTTGAGCAGGGCTGTGATGTGCAGGTTGGCGAGGAACTCGCACTTGGATGCATGGTAGGCACTTCCAAGGTAGAGGAAGGGGAGGATTTCAACTGGGCCACCCTAGAGCAGGGACAAAGGACAACCAGGAAATATCGGATTAGCTTGCTCATATGGGAGAAGAAAAACAACAACCCTGACCTATTTGTTTTTGAAGGTGGGAGGTTCCCTTTCTGGTTTCCAGGTAGACAGAGTTCAGAGCCAGGGCAATTCAGCCAGGAGTGTGGGCGGTACCTCCACCCTGGCAAACTCTCTACCCTCAAGACTCACTGACAGCAAAACTCACAGGGACCACCACTCACAGGGTTCCATTTTTTTGCTCACACAGAAGAGGTTAGAATTCCTAGCAGCCTTCTATGCTAACAGGGATGGAAGAGGTGGGGACTGAAAGGGCCCTTGTTTAAGTTCATACGCCCACGAGAGAAAGAACCAGCATGAGCCACTGTACCTCAGGGCAGCTTCCTAAGTAATTCATCCATCGAATGGAAAAAGCTCGGAGGGAGCACCCTCTTTTACAGAGCTTTTTATCACGTTCTCCCCAACCACTCCCCTAAAGTTTCTTAGAATTGAAAATAACCACCACCTACCCAGAATTCAGATTCAGAAAAGCCATAAGGCCACAGGCAGAGGGGCTTCCCCACCCCCGACCTTCACATGGAGTGTAGGAGTTACAGGCTTGAGGTCATCTCCCACACCCAGATGTCTGGAGCTCCAGACAAGAGCCAAAGCCCTTCTACCCCTGAGGTGAGGAGGACCGGAGCACTGGGAGAGAGACCTAATCTACATATCTAAGGGTTCTAAGGTACCAAGGGGAGGACAAGGACTGTTAGAGCCCCCCCATTTCCTGTTTTTCTATTTCCTGCCCCCCCAAAAGAGTGGAATGGAAATTCTTAGCCAGACCAGTAGTAAGGAAAAGGTCAGGGATCAAGTGAGGGGGGTCAGCAGCAGGCAAGCTGCAGCCTATCCAGCCCTTGAGGTGTTTAAGCAAAAGCAAATTTAACTACACAGACAAAAGTAACAGCGAGTTTACGTAAGGTTAATAATAACTTGCACGGAAACACACACACACACACACACACACACACACACACACACACACGACAGGCTCTCATGGACCTCAGACAGACCTCAAACTCTAAGCCGGGTTGGGCACAGGGTGCAGTTTGATATTCCTGCTTTTGTCTCCCAAATGCTGAGATTGAAGGCGTGTACCTCCATACCCAGTTCATGAGGTACTGGAGGCTGAAGCCAGAGGTTCAGTGTGTGGTAGTCAAGCACGCTACCAACTGAGATACATATCTACAACCCGCCTTCTTATTAGCACCTACAGTGTCAGAGGCTTGAGACACATGTAGCTACTAGTCTTACAACAGATCTGTAAGGTAGGTAAAAACGTCATTTTGCAGACGGTTACTTGAGTCTGAGATGGGATTAAATCAGGTGCTCGTGTCAGACACAGTGAGAAGGAGCTGGGACTGTAACCTAACTCTGACTGCTTGGCAGGAATGGCAGGCCTTAGCTGAGTGGTTTACAGCTCTGGATGAAAAAACAAGGCTCCTGCTTTACTCCTCCCTGAGGGGTGTTCTCTGTGTGGAACCAGGCTGGCCTGGAACTCACTGTGTAGCTCAGGCTGTCTTTGAACTTACAGCTGGAATTATGGGTGTATACCAGGCTTAGCTATCTATCTGTCAGTAAAAACCGGAAGAAAATATTTTCCCCCTTTCTTGCCTTTCTCTAGAAGTAAGTCCACTTGCACCCTTCCCCCTTCTCCACACACAGGACAGCCTTCCAGAGGCAGTGTGGTGCAAAGGTTAGGAACCAACATCTGAGACAGAAGACCTTGGGGTGAAGTCCTAGCTTTTCAGCCAATAGGAGCTTGGGCACCTTTGACAGTCCCTTAACAAAAAACTGGGAACAATGTCTATCTTCTTGGGATATTTGGTAAGACATAAAAGAGATAATATTTGCACTATTAACTTGTATACTATACAGCTGTTATGTTCATTCAGGGGAAGAATGAATAAATAGAATACAGCTTCTCTCCTGGGGAAAACGGACACAGGGCAGATACTGAAGTTCAGTAATCCCCACAGATCTGGTCTTGGCCTGAGGGCAGACTATCCCCAGGGCCTGCCTGGTCCAATCCAGCCTAGCCCAGCCCAAACTCCCTGCTGCTTAGAAACTGGAAAAATGGTAGAGAGGACATGCTTGGGAAAGAGGTCAGAGACTCAAGTCCAAGACTCCACTCTGTCTTTGATCAGCTGCAGCCCTACCCGACACCCACCCCCATGCCCCGTGGCACCAACAGCCACCCCCTCAAAGAAGCAGGCTGGACACTCCTGTGGGTGCCTGGAAAATGCTGATCCACCAGCCTGGGCTACCTTCCAACTTCCCCTGCAGCCTGGCCCATCACAGTCCCGAAATTCTAGTTCTTTCCTTTTCTGAGTCTTCTGTTCGACTCAAGAGGAAGACACCCAAGATTGTCAGAAAACCCAGAGGATGTGACAGCTTCGCCGACCTCTCCTGATGTATGGGGGGTTCCCATGGTGAGGGCTGAAGACCTATCAGAGCACCCCACCCTCAGTGGGCCAAAGGTCGATAGAGCTTCCACAGCCTGCCGCCAGGCCTCACTTCTCTTTCAGTTTCTGAGAAAGGGGCAAAACACAACCTCAATTAAAACAAAACAAAAAAATCAACCAAACAAACACAGACATCCAGCTTAGACGGATGCTGTGGCTTCAGACTCATCCCACAAGCTGGGTCTTCATGAAAGAAAACAAATAGAACCCCATGACTCTGGCAGCTGGCCAGGCTAAGAGGCTTCCAATCACCAAGGATCCCACTAGAAACAAGGCCACCTAGTTTTATTTAGCACTCTGTCCCCAGGGGCTGGTTTTTTTCAGCCATATCTAGAAGGGTCTTCATTAGGCCTTACTATGTATATTCTGTGTTTTGAGGGAAAGTCTGAAAACCTCCTTCCAAATCAGATGTCTAAGCCAATAGGAAAGGATTTAGAACAGAGAGTTGAAGAGTAGCCATGAGTCTGGGGTGGCCTTGAACCAGCAGCAGCCATGAGCCCCAGGAGGCCTTGAACCAGTAGCAGCCATGAGTCTGGGGTGGCCTTGAACCAGCAGCTGGTGTCTTTGCAAACTGGTCTTACACTGACAACCCTCCCACTAACCAACACCTAAGTAAGTACCTTGTCTTCTGTGAGATGGCAAGGAGAGTTCTGAGCTCTGGTTTCCGCCAGGCCTGGACATTCATCTGCCCTCCCCCCATCACTTTATAGGTATCCAGCCTCCTAACGGTCAGTGAGTTGTACAAAGTACACCTTTTTAGAGGAAAACCCAAAAGACCTCATATGCTTACAGAAACATCCAGGCCTCTACAATCTCCACTTTCTCTGGTACCAGAATCTATGAAAAGTAAGTACCAGAAACCTGCAGGAGACAGCCAGGTATGGTGGCACAAGTCTATAACCAGAGCCTTTGGGAGAGAATCCTTTAAGTCAAGGCTAGCCTGGGCTATGTAGCAAGCCTATTTGCCAACCCCCCCCCCCCCCCCCCCCCCCCAAAAAAGAAAAGAAAACATTGAGAATGGGGCTGGAGGAATGGGGCACTTGTTCTTGCAGAGGACCTGGACCTGGGCTGGATTCCCAGTATCACACGGCAGCTCACAACCCTCTGTAATTCTGGTTTCTGACCTCTGCAGGCAGGAACATGATGCACATATATACATGCAGGCAAAATACTCATATGCATGAAATAAAACGAATCTTAAAACAAAACAGAACAACCACAGGAAGCCTGAAAGTCAGCTCTGAATTTCTTCAGGGAAACCCAAACCAGTATTTCCAAGTTTCCCCAAACCTCCCAAGCCAGCTAATAATAATCATGTTATCTCTTACTTCCTCTTTTCTCCAAGCTACCCAGCATCCTGTGGCCCAGGGACTTTAGTGAGCTGTGTGTGCTGGAAGAATGCCCACTTACTCTTGGATGGGAACTCCTGTTGGCAAGCTACAGCAGCACTCTGAAGAGCAGTGTTAGCTCCCTTATTTCACAGAGTCCACCTGAGTAGGGGTTCTGAGGAAGGAAGCGTCAGCAGCTGAGAAGCACATACCTGGTCATAAGCTGGTCTGTAGGCAATGCTGAGAATGGGCTTTCCACACTGGCTGAGGAGGCCTCTCTCACCTTCGATCTTCTCTTGTGAAGTGGGCTTCACATCCACACAGCACTCAGGATACTGTGAGTAGAAGGTCTCATACCCTCCTTTGGAAATAAAGGGATAAACAAAACGTGAGCCAGGCAAAAGCACTGGGTTCTCAAACTGTCAGGAAATATCTTCACCCCCGGCCCCCACTGCATAAGAGATAAAACAGTGACAAACACCCTAAGATAATAATACATCTTTTAGAGGGCTCAGTGGGTAAAGGCGCAAAGCCTGCCGACTGGAGTCATCCCAAGAACCATATAAGGGAAGAGACCAATCCTGCAGATTACACATGACACATGCACGGTCAATAAATAAGTAAGTGTAATTTTAAGAAAACTGAACAACACCACTACTTTTAGAATAAAAAATAGACTTTACTCACATACCTCCCCCCCAACTTCTAAAAGTCTGTCATTTGAGGCTAGATAGCTCAGCCATTAAGAGCACTTATTGCTCTTGCAGAGAACCTAGGTTCAGTTTGCAGCACCCACATCGTAATTCAGGCTGAGGGGTGTGTGTGTTTGACGATATTCTGACCTTGCTTGAGTTCCTGTGCATACATGGTGTGCATACCTCCACCATAAACAAACAAACAAACAAGTTTTTATAGGTCTCTCAGTGAGAGGCAATGATTAACATTTTGTGTCAATCTGAAGTGGATTATCTGGCACCTGATAAATATTAACCATATCCTTTCAAAAAACAAAAGCTATTTTTTTTCTTGTTTATGTAAAATAAAGGAGTGATTATGCTAAATGCCTTTGATTTCTAAGACTTCTAAGCAGGCTTTTCCTCTGGCCTGTCTGCTCTAAGCAAAATTGCAGCTATATCCTTTGGGATTCATGAAGGAGCTTGCCCTTTCTCTGCTGAAAGGTCCTAAGGTCCCTGACAATCTCTTCTACAGACCCAATGTAGGCATAAATCAAGTTATACATTCTAAACCAAATGGGAAATGCAGACTTTTAGACATGTAAGGATGTCAGTATCATATTTCAACTCCCCCAGAAGGGTCACTTAAGGGTTAAGGGGATTCTCTAAAGCTGAGTATGGAAGCATATGCCTATAATCTTAGCAGTTGGAGGTGGAGGAGGAAGAGGAGGAGGAGGAGGAGGAGGAGGAGGAAGAGGAGGAGTTGAAGACTGACTCAAAAAAAAAAGAAAAGAAAAAGAAAAGAAAATGACCAGGTAACAGAAATGTATCCACATCAGAATCTCAGGATCAACAGGGAAAAGCCAACAATTCGGTCCTTAGAAAGCCAAGGCCTTGTAGGTGAACTGGAGACTCTTGCTTAGGAACCTTCTGTTCTGATACACAGCAACCTGAGGTACTTCAAAGAGCCTCCAGAAAACCTAATTGTCTTTCGCTGGCCTCAAGGATTCACTTGGTGTCAAGTCACCAGTTAAGTGTGCATCCTGAGACAAAGTCCTTTCTAAAAAAACCTTCATTTCTTGTTTTGGTACTACACAGCCCACCAGTGGAGGGCTTCCTCCTGCAGTGAGCAAATGGTTAATGGATTACATGGCAGCCTCCAACTCCCTCCCCGGAGCTGCAGCCAATTCCTAGGATGAGTCACCTTGTCATTCTGGCTTCCTCTCAGCTTCTGCCGCCCCGTCCCCATTTAGTACTTCCAAATCTCCCCTGTGGTCACTAAACAAACAGCTCCCTGGCTCCCTAGAGAAAATTTCTAGTTTTCAACAAATGATCACGTTCTCTGTCATGAAGATAGCGCGCCTGACTAGAAGGGGTTAGGGAGGAGAGGTGAAGGCCTCGGTGGCTGCTCATGCAGCCCCCTCACAGACTGATGCTAATCCACATATCCTTGGGGGGAGTATTTTCCAGTCAATAAATCATAGGGTTAGGCCTGGGTTCAACAGTTTGGGTTCCAGGAAACAAAATAAGAGGTTGAGGGCATCTGGAGAAAGACTAGCCCAAGCACTTGCAAACTTGTGGAAGAGAGGCCTTAGGGCTGTCTCATCTCTGGGCTTTAAAGAGACCATTTAGAGCTGGCGGGCAGGAGGGGCAGAAAGAGGTGTTGCTTACAACCTAACACGAAACAGGCAGAGTGTCTCAGAGTAACGACAGACAAACAGGGCTTGCCTCTTCAGGCTGGGGTCAGGAGATTAGGTCTCTGCCTTCCGCCCACTCCCATCGGAGGTGTGGAGGCAGAACATTCCTCTCTGCTGTCTCACTTGTGTCTCACTCGGATTGCAAGAGTGCTAGCAATTCCTCAGGCCGCTTCAACCTTCTTCAGAGTGTGTCTACTTTCAATCATCACTGCGTTGCCAAAGGAACAGAGAGGCAGCACACCAGCACTAGATATAAACACCAGCCACCCAGCCGGTCTTCAGCATCTTACTTGAGTGGGAGAGGGAATGGTAGGAAGTAGGAGGAGCCTGGTACCAACACCTAGCTGCCACAAGGTCAAAGCCGAATGCACATCGGGAGTGCTCTACTTAAGAGAAAGAGATTCTCCTTTGCAGCAGTTTGAACTTCAGTGGTGTCATGAGGGCATCGATAGCTACCAAATACATATCAGAATGAAGGACAAGACCGCACAATGCCAGAGCACCTGACAAGGACCTCTACCCTCTTCTTTACCAACGGCCAGGCTGGAAGTCTAGTGGTTATCATCAGGTACTATCATGCAGCAACATGGATGTCTCTAAGATCTACTTGGGTGAAGAGGCAGGATCTGGAAAGATATGGATTCAGTTTGTTTTTAAAAGCTATCCATGAGAGAAATTATCCAATAAGAAATCATCGGTGCTGTTTCTGGAGAGGAACTAGGTTTTAGGGCATGAAGAAGGCACACATCTCCTTAAACACCCTTGGTGCTATTCAGATTGTCACCTGGATACACGTTACTTTGTTTTTTAACAGTGAGAGAGACCTCTGCAGAACTTAGAGAAGGCCACCCACCCTTCCACATCCTCATCTGGGATTCCATAGCCCGTCTGGGGCTGCAGCAACATCCACCTGTTATTTCCCAATGGGACCAACAAGGGACAGTTAGCAAGAGGTGTTAATAACTGGGAAGCTACCCACTTGCCTCTGAATCTTCCTGGCCTACAGTGTGTGAAATTCCAACCTGCATGGCTTTGACACCGGGTCTCTCTCAGTACCCCTGAATTCTGAACCATATCAGAGTTCCTGGACAAGGTGTTTAGTCATCAGAGTTCTGGGGGCCCCTAGCCGAGGTCAGCTCTCTCCTCTGCACCCAGGCCAGTGTTCCCATACTTTTGAGGTTAGAAGGCAGGCGTAGTCACAGGAAATGACCCAGAAATCAATGATGTGAGGTTTGAGAGTAATCACACACCCACAACCGGAAGCCAAAGTTATCTCCCCAGCAGGTGAAATAGTCGGGCCCGGAGGCAGTTCTTGAAGGCCTAAAATCAAATGCCACAGAATCTCCTCCGTATCTTACAGCCTCTGTAGCACCTCTCCTAACTAAGCTGGCCCGTTGGTAGTCTCTGAGGCAGTTCTAGGGATAATCCCCTGCTGGGGAAGAGAGGATGAAAGGGGTGGGAAAGCTGTCAGCTCCCAAATTAAGCTTGAGAACGGCCTAGAAGAGAGGAGGAGGAGGAGGAGGAGGAGGAGGAGGCTGGAGGATAACAATAAAAAGCAATAAAGGGAGAGGAAGGGGAGGGACTTGCCAGGGTCAAAAAGGCAAGAGGCCCACCAAGACACAGCCTAACGTACTCTAATTGTCTAGGCGGGAAGAAAGGGGACACCGCGGCGCCACTCTCCTGGGGGAGGGTCTCGACTTGTTTGATCTCGCCAGATCCGTACAGAGAGGTTCCGACTCCCATGGTCTGCAAACGGCGCCAGTGACCAGCATGAGTTCTGGGCCCCCGGAACTGTTAAGGAGCACCTCCTGCAGCACGTTCCCAGCCCACCCAGCCTAGAGGACAGACAGGATGCCAGACGCTTTCGAGGAAAGGCGGGTGGGGAGAAGGAAGCCCTGGGCGCTGACGTTTGCAAGGACCTCCCAAGCGCACTTCAAACCCCGGGGTTCATACACCCGCAAGTGGTGACTTTCTCCAGTCCAGAGTTCCCACGCAGGGACGTAACCCTGGGGCCCCGGTGTCCCCGCGCACGGTGCAGGGGGGGAAAGAGAAGGTAGCAAGAGACAGTCTGCTCCCGGACGAGCTCACCTTTAAGGAAGTAGACCCGCGGGCCGGCGGGCAGGCAGGCCAGCAGTGAGGTGAGCACGACGCGCGCGGCGCTCTCCTCCCGTAGCTTCTGCCAGTGGCGGCTGCCCTGGTCCAGCACGACCACCGCCGCCACGCCGCCGCCGCCCTCCTGCAGCAGCCGAGCGCGGGCCGCCTCGTCGGGCAGCACGTAGCGCGCAGACACCGCGCCGCCCCGGGCCCGCCGCAGCACCACCGAGTTGAGGTTGACGTTGAGCGAGCCGCGCACACTCGACGCGGCGAAGGCCAGGTAGGGCCGGCAGTCGAGCACCACGCAGCGCGCCTCCGCCTCCTTGCGGAGCATCTTGCGCAGCTGGCGCCCGTCGAGCGACGTGACCTTCATGCCGCCGCCACCCAGCGGCCCGACGCTGCGCGCCCCACAGCTGCTAGAGGACGGGAGGCCGAGGACGGCCGGGCCACCTCGCGGGAGCCTGCAAACGGAGGCCGGCGCGAGGGCCCGCGCGACGCTCTCCACGCCCCGCTCGCTCGGCACCCGGCCCCGCCACTCGCTGCCCCAGAAAGCTGGGGATTCCGCCGGCAGCGCAGCGTTTTATGTGAATGAGTGCGCGTCCTGTGACGTGAGTGCCCATATAAGGCCAAATATGGGTGTTTCCCCGCCCCTCCGGCCTGACCACGCCCCTGGGCGGGGCGTGCGGGCACCCGCCTCCTCCCGGGGAGCAGGCTGGAGGGAGGGCGTCTTAGTCAGAGCGAGAAAGAGGAAGTGGCGGGCGCCCGCTGCCTCTCTCGGGGGCCCCGCGCGGAGAGACTCACTCACGCATCACCCGGGACTACCGGTGGGGTGTCAGGAATGCCACCAGGCCGAGGTGACCCACGCCGTGCGGGAAGTGGAGGAAGCAAATTCGGTTAGAACCTGACTGGGGCCGCGCTATGGAGCTCCCTGAGGCCTCTGGGTGAATTCCGGTCGTTCTCTATTGTGTCTGCGCTTGTAAGGAGACATCTGAAACGGGCCGAGGTGCGAGCTGAGATGCGAGCCGAGATGCGGGGTGGCTTGGTCATCGTAATGCCGAGGCTTCTAACACGTTACCCCCACTTTTTTTTAATCTTTTAATTTTCCGTAATAAAAGTTGCTGAGAGTAAAAAGGAGGAGTTATGAATGGGTGAGACAGACTTCAAGTGGATTCTGCCCCGGATGGATTGACAGCCCCCTTTTGTCTCTCTCCAAAGATAGGGACAGAATACCACCAGAGCGTCGTAGTGAGACTCTGCCTCAAAAAACAAAAACCACACGCGCGCGCACACACACACACACACACACACACACACGAACAGTACACCGACTCAGGAGCTCTGGTTCTGCGAAGCCTATGGGGAGCTGTGAGGCCCAGTCCGGTAAACTGTTGTCCAGGTGGCTTCTGGATTTGTGGGATTATGGTGGATAAAGTGTAATCCCAGGCTGTCTGCCTCCCCCCCCCCCGGCCTCCAGGGGGCCCGCCCCCACTCCCCCATTCCCTGAAAACTAAGTGTTATTTGTCCCCTCCGCAAGTAT